TGCAAAATCTCCTCTAACCTGTAAATGGATGTGTGATGCATTGCTGGTGTTCCACAGGTTGAACATCTTGAATTTCCTCTTTAAACATGATTGTAGTACAATGTCCAAAATTATTTTTCAAAATTGCAAATAAAACAGACATTACTGGAGTACATTTTACAAGAATATACTATTTAAGTCTTTCACATTTTATGTCAAATTCAATGTGTTACTTGCCATTATTTGTTATTTGTATTTGTGAAAATTACTAGCAATTTCTGAGTGACGTTGTTTCAAAATCAGTTCTACACCATTTCAACTACCAGTCAAAAGTTTGGAATAATTACACATTTTTTATGTTTCGGAAGAAGTCTCACCAAGACTGCAGTTGTTACAGTATTAATAATAAAGTAAAAACAGTAATATCGAGAAACATTATTACAATTTTAAATAACTCTTTTTGATACATCACAATTCAAAGGTTTTGTGTAATTAAAATTATAAAAAGAGAAATTAATAAGTTCATATTAATACTTTTATGCAATGCAGTCGATTGATTAAAAATGATTAAAAAAAGATTTCTATGTCAAATAAATGATATAAATTGAAGAATCCAGAAAAAAATATCATGGTTTTTACCTTTCAACTTTGCCATCACAGGAATAAGTTAGTTATTTTAAACTACAATATTTCACAATATTACAGTATATTGGCTTGTTAACAATTATTACTTTGAAGCAGAATCATTTTTGCATTTTGTTTGACGGAAACAATCTCAAACAACCACATATTGCTTCTCAAGCTTCCTGCTTACAAACTCCAGAAATTAATGAATTCAAATATCAACTTCAGGAGAAACTGCTGAAGAGCTGCATATAAATAGAGGAATATGAAGCGGCAAGTCAATTTTGATACCTTCAGACAGCACCTATCTATTTTTAATAATGCAATTAGATCAGGCTGGTACGCTTATTTCACTAAATTGGTCTCTGAGAACCAGAACACCCCAAGGGTGCTATTTTGGACCACTGACAGGCTTCTAAACGCCTCTCTTAGAAGTCATCCTGACATAATCCCAGGCTTCAAATGTAATAAGTTGGCAGTGTTCCCTAGTATAAACAGTTAGGTTGGATATAAACAGAACATTTGAAAATAGTGCATTTGAGACTGTTATTGTATCATTTACCAGTGCAAGAATCTAATTTAGCAGTTTTTAATGTTGTTGATCCGGATGCATTGAAGAAATTATGATTTGGTTTGGGCCTTTGTATAGAAACTGCTCATCAGGTTCAAATCAAATACCAATTCTTACCTTAAAATGATTTAATATAGCTAACTGCCTTCATTATTTTAGAAATGTTGCATGATGATGGTCACTTTTGGTTCCACAGTCCTGGACTAAATTAATTTTTTTGTTTTTACAACATCAAAGTTAAATATTACACATTATACAGTACTGTTCAAAAGTTTACGGTAATAATTAGGAATGATAAATGTTCATTATTAGGCATAAACACATATTGTTAATTATTGGTTTATTTCAAGTCCCTTTTGGTGCTGTTATTACACTGCATGAAAGGTGGATTGGATTTATTGACGGAGCTGCATCAGATGAAAACTAATGAGAATGACAACAGTGAGCGCTTTCCAAGTCATTTTATCAATTTTACCTGATGAACCAACACATATGGAGCAAAATTGCATGGCTGGAATACTGAGAGTGGTGATTTCAATATAATTGAATCCAGATTATATTTAATTAGGCTTGATCTGGCATGACTGAAAGCACATCACTGGAACACACACATATGCCATGTAAAGCTTCAAAGAAGGTCATTTATCTGTTTAGATGTTATAATATGACTTAATGTTACTACTGTATGTGTTGACAAAGCTGGAAAAAAGCATTTTTATCAGCACACTGCAAAATGTGTGGCATCTAAAACTAAAAGATTTACCAGCAAACTATACTTGTAATATAGTGTTTTTGTGTGTGTAAATATAACTTACAAATTATAGTCCATTACTGATTATTAAATTACATAACAGAATAGAAATTGTAGTTAGCAATGTAATCTGTTGGATTACACATTAGGTAATGTATTCTGACTATGTTTTGATTACTTTTAGATTACTTTTGACCTAACTCGTAAGATATTTTTTCCCATTCTTTGTTATCAACATCATGAAGTGCATTAAGCATTACATTACATCAAGGTTTCCAAAACTGGGCTTCCTGAAAGAACTGCAAGGGGTTTATAAGGTGATGAAAATATAATAATTAATTAAATCATAAAAATGTCAAATTAAACTAATTGTGTGGCCTCTCCATTTTCTGTGTAATTATATTCATCTGGTTCGGTGGCTGATGTGTGCAATTCCATAAAACTGGAAGACTTTTTACAAATGTACATAAGTGGAGGATTTTTTAGAAAGGAAAGTTTAAGAGAGAGAGGGAAAAAAAGATGAATTGGGGCAAATCAATTCGTTATGAAAAATGTACTGCCATAGTGTAAATAATCTATCTATCTATCTATCTATCTATCTATCTATCTATCTGTCTATCTGTCTGTCTGTCTGTCTGTCTGTCTGTCTGTCTGTCTGTCTGTCTGTCTGTCTATCTATCTATCTATCTATCTATCTATCTATCTATCTATCTATCTATCTACGAGTCTGTGTGTATTCAGGTTTAAGTCCCCACCAGAATAGAAAAACAGGTACACACATATACATAGAATCATATACATAGAATCAAAGTTACTTCCACTAGTCACTTCCAACTATTGCATTACACATATTAGGTATGTATTCTACTGACATGTCCTACAGTATTTGCCATCTAAAGCAATTATATAACATTTATATGTATATTTTCTGCAAATTCCTTTTATGACCTCATATAACTGATATACATTGAAAATAATTTGTCTTACTGCAGGACTGTTTACAATAAATTAGTCTAAAAAGTTAATTATCCAAATAATGCAATGTTGCAGAAAACACTATATGGAGCACCAGAGTATTTTCAAATAATGGCAAATCTCTCCGTTAGGGATGTGTGGTAAATACACAAAATCAGTGATTGACAGATGGATGGGTTATAAGCTGTAGTCTATTATCTGACTTCCCAGAGTGCTGCACTCCATGCTATTTAAAAATGAATTCAGACTTGCATTTCGATTTTATACATGCGAGTTATCATGTAAAAAAAATAATCGTGATTTTAACAGTAAAAGACTGTAAAAATACTACAGTAAAAACCTGTTAATTGGTTATCAGTAAGTTTCCATACTATATACGGTGAATAACTTTAATTACATTTAATGTCATTTTACAGTTAAAATTACGGTTTTTGGAAGTGAAAAAGAAAAAGTCATTGTATAATTTACAGTGAAAAACCATAAATTGACACTCTCAGAATTCCCTGCATGACACTTCATATTTTATGTTTTTTTTAATTGAAATAACTATGTTTCTTAGTTTTTTTCTTATCGGTTGTGTACATTAGGGTTTTATGTAATGTTCTTAAATTAATGTTTATTGAATTATTAGTATATTACAGTGTTACCATTATGGTGTTTAGTGTTTGTGTGAATGACACTGCACCTTATATACAGGTGCATCTCAATAAATTAGAATGTTGTGAAAAAGTTCGTTTATTTCAGTAATTCAACTCAAATTGTGAAACTCGTGTATTAAATAAAAAATAATAAATAATAAATAAAATAAATAAACTTTTCCACGACATTCTAATTTATTGAGATGCACCTGTATATATATATATATATATATATATATTGTTTATTGTTTATTGGTCTAAACAGCCCACAGCCCGAACTAGTCCTGATTACTGCGCTTCAGTATATGGGAATCTTTGAAAACAGATGTCCTCATGCATTAGTGAACCCATTATAAAAAATTTACGCACAGCAATGAGACAAAGCCAGTGGGGTTATGTTCATTGAATTATTACTTTGATATTCCTCTGCTGTTATTTTTCCCCTCAGCTGTGTTTATGTTTGTACTTCTGTTTGTCCTATAATTTCGTTTACACAAATCATATATACTGTATACATGGACCTTTTAAAAATAATTGAGCATGTTTACAAATTCAATTTTAGGCTGTACCTTAAATTCCAAATAACAATAAAATGAAATAAAATTGACTAATGTTTATAACATCAATGTGATATTTTTATGTGCTATTTATTATTACACTTTGCTGCTACTGCAACTAATACATATAACAGTTCTAATATTTTCTTCTTCTTGTCTCTTTCTTATGTTTAATTATTCATTCACAATTTATTTCATATATAATTCATAAATACTATTTGTTATTGTAGCAGCAGTGGATCTATTAACATGCATTTTTCAGATCTATTTTCTATAATACTAATCTTTCTAGTTTATCGCAACCAGTGATGTATTAAAAAGTGTTGAGTAACTAATGCTGACATAATTAGGTTCAGGACACTGGGTTGCTCTCTGGTGACATGAAATTAATGTCCTCCATTTGAAGCATGGCCACATTTTCCCTCCCGCCACATTCCCGTGACTCCAATCCTAATGTATACTTTTAATCGAATAATAACACACATTTATTATCACCAGCATTTATGATTGGTTAAATCTTTATCAGTGGATTTATGGGCTCATCGGATGAAAATTCAGTGCAAAGAACAGTTATTTTAGTATTATTTATATACGATAGTATTCATTAATGTTTTCAATTAGCTTAGTTTGAATTTCAGTTGAAGTTTGAGCAATTTGATGTGCTTTTCACTAGTTTTTGTTTAAATGTTTCTATTTAGCTTTGAATTTATTTCAGGTTTAGTGTTAGTATTTTTTTGTACTTAAACCTTTTAGTTAGTTATTTTAAGGCAACATTTCAAATTTTTTTTAATCCATCCATTCATCCGTCCGTCTGTCCGTTTTACAGTGCAATAAATATGACATCTTTCCCTTTATTATATAGATATACTTTTTTATTAGAAATATGACACATTCATTTTGTGCTCTGAAAACTGTACAATAACAAAGAAACCCCAGTGAACTTAAAAAAAGATGTGTGGAAAAGCAGGGAGAGGAAGAGAAGGAGTAGGGCAGGGGGTTCATGGTGGGGAATTCAGGCAAGTACGTATCATCTGGAATGACAGTCAGTGATACCGAAAGACACACCGTTACATGATGTTACAGAACACTGATATAGTCCAGTAACCCGATGAGATTTGGAGGGGGGATCTCAGAATCGCAATGATATCTATAATAAGGATAACAATATTCCCCAAGCACAGTAAGAAAGATATTTATAGGCTAAAATTCATTTTGTAGAACTCTTCTGGAAATAATTACAATGCTGTACAACAGGACTCTGAGGAGTGAGTCTTGTGCTTTCTCTGTGTGCGACCACAACCTAACCAGAGAATAACACCCCTCTGCAGTTTCATATATAAGACTATTTATAATATATATATATTTATATATTCATATTCATCTCCGTTTTCTCTTTCAAACATGATTCTGCACTTATTCTGAGACTCAGCAGTTTGTTTCAGGTCTCTCAGCTCCAGTGATCCTGATGGAAACATCAAGCGAATGAAAACGTGTGGGTTCCCATGATCCCTCCAACTGGACCGCCGACCCGCTTTCAAGCTGAATCTCACGTTGTTGACTGACTTTTGAAGGATCCGCAGGTCGGTGCGGTGCACGGGACAGCAGAGTGGCTAAGCTGTAGGCTGTACTTGCTCGGAAGGGCGTTTGAGACAGGTTAACAGTCAAATGGCTTTGGGCAATCACGTCGCCTCTAGTGCCCCAAGCATATGCATGTTGTGTGTCACACTGATCAATAACAATGATGGTAAGACTAATAATATTCAAGAATTTGATTTTGAATGACGTGTAGTTCACCTGATTCCTGCCGGACAGTTTGAGAGCTTTCTGTCATAGAGCTACTTCTCACTCTTCCATAAATGGGACATGATCACAAATATGTGTGTGTGTGTATCCAGGTGTGTAAGAAATTGAAGGCCACTCCCTAAGGCTCATCTGCTCTTAGTCTGAATTCCAGTCCTTCCCTTCAGTCAGTCAATCCCAATGTTCCCATGGCAACATCCCAGGTCAGCACTCAACTTGCCCAGTTCAGCTGTTCTTGGTAGTGCCAGCTCATTACCATAGCAACAGGCTCAGACCTGGATTTTCGAAAGTGTTATGATTCACTTTGACATTAAGGAAAAGGCCATTCCAGGATTACAAAAAAACAACAACAACTACAACACAAATAAAAATTGCACAGCCATGTTGCTTTCACTCTCTTTCTTGCATACTTTTGTTTGTCCGCACTCTCACTCCAATCTCATTCCCTCTCTTTGTCCCTTTTCCATGCGAGTAAAGTTTGTTCTGTTTCTCTGAATGCTCTGGGGGTCTCTCAGACCTCCGTCTGCAGGTCCATGATCTCTTGGCCCACCAGAGGGATGGTGGCGCTGGCCTTCTCCCACTCCACCGCTTGCATCTCAAGAGGAGAGGCCTGTAGAGGTTCCAGCTCCTTACGCACCCATGATGGTGGCGAGTGGGTCTTCCTGATGCCCTCCCATACCCGCTTACTGGGGGTCTGCTGCTTGTCCTGCATTAACAAGAAGAATGCTTTAGGGTGACATTTTTGTAAGATGTTAAGAAACATCATATAAAATAGAATTATATTTTGAATAAAGAAAATGAATATTATTGTTCGAACCATCATCATTATAATATTTTTTAATAATAATAATAATAACAACAAGATCTGCTGATCCTACATCATGAAATAAAATCATATGAAAAACTAAGGTGACCTACATTGTATTGGGCATTCAAAGTGAACATGATGGCATCTGTTTACTGATTAAATTCAATATAGTTTATAGTGAGGGGCTTCTGCCAGTCTCTGATCTTCCTCCTGAGAGTTAACTACATGTGAATGTTTACACGTCTATAGTTCTTGTGGCAAGGTGCAGCTTAAACCATTTGGGTACTGTTATCTTTAGGGAGTAGGTTTGCTGAAGCTCACAATCAGGGGTTGATTTCCTGTATTGGTTTGTTTAAGTGGTCACTTCTAAAGGCTGTGAAAGGTAAACACCTTTAATGACTGCCCACTGAATGCCTATAAAATACAATGTATCACTTGGCCTTAGTCAGACTTTTGATGACTGCAGTGCCACACAGCACGTTCTCAATAAAGAATCCTGCTGAAAATACCCAAGAATCTCCTGCTCTTCGCTTCTGAGTTTCCAAAAGAACACAGAAAATGAATATCATTTTCTTTAAAGACTCATTTTTTGGCATTTGTGCCTTTATGCTGATAGTACAGCTGGAGAGAGGACAGGAAACGAGGTGGGAGAGAGAGGCAGGTGGGATAGGGAAAAGACCACGAGCGGGATTTGAACTCGGGTCACTGCCCATGAGGCCAAACATTACTATCATTGAGGCTATTTTTGTTACTATTACAATTATTAACATTTAAAGCAACTATTATAAAAGCAATAAACAAATAATTACTTTCACGTAACTAGTGTCAGTATAAAGTCATATTTTGATTTTGAAAATACAAAAACTAAAACAAAAATCAAGTTGTGTCTTGCGATTAGTAATAATTAAGATATTAAACTGATCCAATTAAAAACAATTCTTATAGATTAATAGATTATGGGAAAAGCTGAACTGAATTTAATTAAATGTTGCTAGTCCTGCATTAACGGAAGTTATTATTATTAATAATAATAATAATACACTTTAATTTATTGTTATATATTATAATAAATTAACGGAAGTTATTATTATTATTAATAATAATAATACACTAATTTATTGTTATATATTATAATATATTTGATTATATATTTATATAAAAATTTTAATTGTCAGAAAAGTAATTTCACAAAACCTGCACGCTCCATTTTCTCAAAGTAAAGTATTATTTACAGTACCAGTAAAAAGTCTGGAATAATTTTCAATGTTTTAATGTTTTATTAGAATGATTTCTGAAGGATCATGTGACACTGAACACTGGAGTAATGGCTGCTGAAAATTTAGCTTTGTCATCACAGTAATTAATTGTATTTTAAGAATATATTTAAAATAAAAATCGCTTATTTTAATTTGTAATAATATTTCACAATATCACAGTTTTTACTGTATTTCTCATCAAATAAATTCAAATTTGGTGATTAGAGATCTTTCTTTGAAAACATAAAAAAAATGCAGACTTTTGACTGGTGTTTTCTTTTGATTTTGGTATGAAATATAACTTTTTTTTTAACGAGATCCACTTAATGACAAACAGAAAAGGAGGTGGAGTGATTCGTGTAAATTCGTACACTAAGATTGGTTTTATCGCTGCCTCCTGATGACACGCTCCATCTCTTCCCAGTCTTCCCGTCCACTGGGGGTGAATCCCTGTCCTTCTCTGCATGCTGCAGTTTCCTGTTTAAGTCCTGGAACATGTCCTGGTGGCGCTTCCGTGTATGCATGATCTTCTGCAAGACAAAACCCGCATTTAAACCTTTGCAGAGATGAATGAAACTGCACCACACAAGACTGCTGTCATTTGTGGAAAGATTTACATTACACTGACCTCAAAATCCAACTCTGCATAGCGTGATTTTCGTCTCTAAAAGGGCAAATTAGAAAAGGGTGTTATTGTGTGTCCTTTCAGAGTCATCTTGGGGGGTGCAATGGGTCATTCCCAAAATACAGTGACAAACATGTCCTTAGACTTTTCAGTCATAAGAAAAATTTTATATATTTCAAGAAACCCCATATAAAAGACATCATTCTATAACCTAAGATTTCAATACTGTACATAATAGTTTAATCTTTAACAATCCTTTTATCTGGTATACATTATTTATATATTTAATATGTATACTAATTTTGTTTTTCTTGTTTTTCAAATACGATTTTAAAAATCAAATAATAATATTTAATAAAATATAATAAAAGTTTTTTTTCAGTTTAAACATTACTGGACAATGCTAAATATAATTTAATATTAAATAAACATGTTAAATAAATTAACATTTAAAGCAATTCATATTATAAATAATTTCATATAATTGGCATCAGTATAAATTTAAGCTAATTTGATTTTGAAAATACAGAAGGTAACAAAATCAAGTTGTGTCTTGTGATTGGTAACAATGTCAAGATAATAAATGAATCAAATTTAATAAATTCTAATAAATCCTTAATAATTGATTTGGGGAAAATGAACTGAATTTAATTGAAACATTCAACATTTTGTAATATTTGGTAAGTCAGAAAGTCAGTACTGTTTGAGAACGACCCAAATGCAATAAGTAGAAAAAAATTGATTGTAAAATTTCGGCACTTCGGACAGACTTTGTGAAAGCATTGTGCCGCATTTGTATTGAATGTTTCCGCCGAGCTCCTGGCATGAGCTTGCGGTAAACAGCTTGTGACCGAATGGCCTTTCTTTAGCCTGTCGGAGAGCGTCTGAGGGCCGTCTGACATTCTGCCTGCACTGTGCGTGCATGCAGCTGTGTGCCCGCAATGCATTCTGGGAGCATGTTTGGCCTGAGGTGAGGAGGAACTCACACTTGTCCTCTGCTCCCTTTTAAAGCATGAGCAAAATCTGACCTTTGCAGAGACTTTCTTTTCTAAGAGGGATAATTGCAAATGCAAAGAGGCATAATTTATTATTATTTAGGCATATTTTTCATTCCATTAAGTGTTTTGATGCAGTTTTTATTGAAAGCGAGTGCATTGGCTGATGTCAGTTGAAATGTAATTCTGAGCCACGTAATGACAGTCTTCTACACAGACGCTCTCCACAAATATACTTTTTTCACTCCGCACATAAATTAGGACACTCGCTCCCTTGTGGCAGATATGACAAACATTGATGTGAATTCACAGCCTTGTAGGCAGATGGGTCTACAGCACGTTTCTTTGGACCAGAAACCAAAGTGTCCATCAGTTATTAGAAATAAACACGGCTGAGAAAAAAAAAGTACAAGATGAGGATGAAAAGACATCGTGATTTAAAAAAGAGAGCAAACTCAGTATCTACAGAGCTGTAAGATGCATGCACATTCGCGCTGTTAGCCAATAAATGTTAATGAATAGTCATTTAGAAAACTGTTGTGTCACTGGGGTTCTGATTAATTTAGGCTGTGAATTTTTCTATACAAACTGTGAAGAGCGTTTTCATTATTTAGACAAAATGAAGTCAAACGAGCTTGTCTACAGTGAGGAAACAGTTACAGGACATCTGTCACTTTGCAACCATCTACAAACACCTTGGCAAAAGAATCGCCATTGGTTAGCACATTTTTTTTTGTTTACTCGCCAGACTGTGTATGTGTACATTGTGCACATTGTACACTAAAGATGATAACTATAACAGAAAATATATTGAGATGAGAATCAATCCTGCTTTAAAGAGCTTGAGGATTTAATGCAGCAAATGGCAAAACTGCCGCACACTTCTAATAAACAGAACGTTATCGTGTGTTGGTGTGGACACTGATATACACTCTTAAAAATAAAGGTGCTTCACGATGCCATAGAAGAACCTTTTTGCCCAAATGGTTCCATAAAGAACCTTTAACATCTGAAGAACCTTTCTGTTTCACAAAAGGTTCTTTGTGGTGAAAGAAGGTTCTTCAGATTATAAAAAGGTAAGAAAGAGATGGTTCTTTAAAGAACCTTTGACTGAATGGTTCTTTGTGGAACCCAAAATGGTTCTTCTATGGCATCGCTTGAAGAACGTTTTGAAGCACCTTTATTTTTAAGAGTATAGTTATCTTTATAGTCATTGTTCTTGGTTCTCTAACTCAATCCATGGCGAGTAAAAAAATAAATAAAAATATTTCAATTATTGTTAGCCATTGAATAAGACATTATTTGGTGGCCTAGTGCAACATTTGGTCACATATACGAGTGGTTTACTCGCAAAATAGAGGGTTGCATTGTTTTATCTCATGATTATTGTTGTTTCTTACCTCCAAAGAGCTCATAGACAGTGTTGAGATGGTCTCACTCTTAGACATCATGCCAGAGTTCCCAGAGTCCCCTTGCTCACATGTGTTTGTCATCTGGGACTCGCCGGAGATGTTCTGCACTGTCTGCACAGGGGAGTCCCTCTCTGAGCAGGAAATGCTGACTCGCTCGGTGGGCAGGGTCTTCAACCCAAAGCCTGGCACAGGATCGGTGCCAGCAGGGTTGGCCAGATGGATGAGCCTGGTCTGGGGTAACTGTTCGATGCTGATGTTGTACTTTGTGGCTTGGTCCTCCTTGCTGCCCTTTGTGGGCCTAAGTGTGTTGTTGTTGTTGGGCAAGAGCACGTAACCCTGGCCCGACCCTCCTCCTCCTCCTTCGGGACCACTGGTGTCTCCCGGGGTTCCATCCAGTTGCTTGAAGAGCTCGCCATCACAGATGTAAATAGATTTGGCTCCGGGTAGCTCTGTACTGACCCCGGCAATGGCGCTTTTTTCACGACGCATGGTGAGAGTGTGGCTGGCGTAGTCAGCAACGTTTTGCAGGTGGACCTTTGCCATGCTGGCAGGAAGGGTGTTGAAGTTGGAGCCTTTCTGTACCGTGATCTGCTGTGAAGCTACCTTCTCCTCACCTAGTTGGGAGGAACGCTTTAGGGTGCCTGTGAATCCAAGGGAAAAAGCCTTAGTAAGTGAAAAGAGATCACAGCAGAGAAAATACATGCTGATTTGATAAAGCGGTGCTACATTTTGCTGCTATTTTATCAGCTCAAATTATGATGTAATATAGATAAAACTTTGCTGAATCATAAGAATAATGCGGTATATGGTCTAACGTGGTATAGAACGAAACAAAGTAAATGCATCTGATTGCATAGGGCCTTTTAAAATACATTACTTTTTTTTTTTTTCCAAATTCTGTATTTCACATGAAATTATAACAATTAATTTAACATAAAAACATTTATTTTATATTTTGCACAACATAAATTTACTGTATAAATTAAAACCAAATAAAAATGTGATTATGAATAATAATAACAATAATAATAATAATGTTATGTATATGCAGTAGACAAAAATATGGTTCTCAGAAGCAGATTCTATATTTCAGAATTTCCTGTTTAATAATTACTGATGTTAGTCCATATTGCACTTTGAATTTTATTAATTTTACAGCCCTACTTTTGATTTAGTAATCCAAAATTTTCCAAATTCAATGGCATTCCACACTATACAGTAAATTCTATTTTTATGCCTGGATTCTGCAAGTCCGCCCAAGTTTCCCACATCTCGGAATTTATGCCTAATGATGACACCTGGACATCACCTGAAATTTTATGAGCTAGAAATTTGAAAGGGTAGACAGTGAAATTGCTAATAAAATAGATAAAGTGTTTTAACTTGAAAAAGACAAGTCCTAATCATTGGTTTGATATGTTGCAGAAAAAAAGAATGGTCAAAGATGGGATCATAAAGGTGTAAATAAGTACACAAAGGATCAATGTCTCTTCTTATTTAGATTTTCCCATGAGCACCAGCAAACTAATTATACATTATGTCAATTATTAGATAATAATTGGCTACATTACAAAACGTCAGTGGAAAACAGGAGCAAGCAAAGATGCGAAACAGTTTGAACTTTGAGGGTCGCATTATGCTTTTCACAATAATGCAGCCAAGAATTAAACTTTAGCTTTGGCAAGTCATGTAAACATTTCTTTAGAACAACTAACTGAAGGAAGGCTGATTGAACGCTTAATTTTTAGTCCTTCGCACTTCAAAAAACTAAAAAAATTTCACATCACAAGTCTATATTTCCAGACTCTAGCTTGATATGTCGTCTTGATAAATAATCAAAATCCCATTTCCGATAAATATCAGAGAAGAAAGCTGCTATCTGATAATGAAATGTCATGAGGGACTTAATTAGGACAGGCCGGCATATCTGAGGCACGGCAAGGGAACAGACAAGTCTATTTATCTGCATTTTGCTTCTCGCCAGCTATCAGATCGTGTTCTTAATCTCCTTGATGAAAATGCATTATGTGGCCTGTAAAATGGCACTTGTCTTGTCTTAACCTCTCAGAGGGATGCCACAACAACTTTAAGTGACCGGAGCGTATGTTGTGAGAGACTAACCTGATCGGCAAGCCATGTCCACATCCTTTTCAAAGTCAGTCTGGAGAAAACAATGAGAATGAGAGTCTTAAACCACAATTTTATGCTTAATGTGCAACAGAAATACAGATATTTAGTCACAATTCACCATCAGCTGAGCATGGCCGTTCTGGAAAGATCCACCAGAGTTACCGTTTCCATCTTCTTGATGGTCAACAACACGACACTTTACTGCCTCTTGTACCTAATTGATTGCGAAAAAACATGTCTAAGTAAGTAATTTGAATCTAAAATTAGAAAGTCCACCAATTAAAAACCAGACATCAAACAGGTTCCCTCACCTCTCTGCGTAGGATGCAATGCACCATCACGATAACGAAGCCCTCGAGGGAGTCAAAGACGGCAAAAAGGATCTGAAACAAGGCTGAACGGCGGTCAGTAATTGCCAGGACCGCCGACATCCAAGTGAGAGCCAGCAGTGGCAGTACAACGCAGGAGCTCCACAGCGACGCCCTACAGGACAGGAGCAGAATTACACTGAGTGACAGTTCATATTACCATTGCCATACAAGCTGACAAAGAGGGCAAAACTAAGGGATAAAGTGACTTTGGTTGATATTTAGACATTTCTTATGGAACTAATTAATATTTATCACACATATTATTGATTTCTTGGATGTCTGAGGAGTGTTTTACAGATATGAATGTGGTATTGCACTAAAGAGCATTAATAAATGAATACACAGATCAATACAGTGTTCAATATGAGCTAGAGTTGCCCTTTTTGTTGATTATACTGAACAATAACGATATACCGATACTGAAAACATGTAGGTTCAATCACAGTTCAAAACATATGTGAACAGGTGCAACAGGTAAAAATAAACCAAAAGAAGCAATAAAAAAGGAGCAATGGACTATGAAAAAGAGGAAGACAAATGAGAGGATGAAAGATGAAGGAATGTAGACAATTCAGCGGTCTTTAGAGAAGAACTCTCCCCTGATCATGGATTTGGAGGAAGGGCCAGCATGCTCAGCAAGTCCTACATCTCACTATTTTTACTACTTTTGTTCCATTTTTAAATATTGAATTCTTTATCTGCTCCAGTCTACTGCATTTGTATCTTTTTAATGCACCAACAAACACACATTCTGCCAATCACACATACACACACATTAGGGATGCTCATATAAGCAAAACAAAAGAGAGATTGCAGAGGCTACACTGTTGTGGGAAATAATCACAATTCATGTATCTAATATACATCAGGGATTTACAACAGATATTTCATTAACAGACACACAGACCCCATAAAGACATGTACATAATTGTCTTTATGAAGTACTCTGCCCTATAAAGCGTTCGCCTGACATTCTGTACACAAGCACTGCTAACCGCAAATGTAGTCAACCTCAGACATCTATACATGTATACAAACACATAATGTGGTAAAACCTCATTGACCTTTAACCCAAATCGTCTGCTGAGGTATTATTTTACAAATTGCTGCAATTCACCAGCAAAATAAATAAATAAATATATGAATATACTGTATATTGTAGGTTGCATGATTTTAACCTCTCGTATTGCTTCTTAGATGCTGCCACATCCTACACATATTTGCGTACATTAATAAATGGCTGGTCTACTTTATTTCACATTGTAGAGTAAAACACCTGGCCAGTACCAGCAACAGGCTAATGATAGAAACCTGATAAACATGGCTCACTGCAGTCTCAGAGTCAGATAAGCCAATCTTGACATGGCTGCTATTATTAGCCCTTACAATAATGTCTCATGGCAACCATAGCTTCCACCAAAATACCACAGAGTTCAAACTAAATATCATATAGTTACTGCCACTACATAATATTTGGCCACCACTGTCATCACAAAATAAATGAAAAAAAAAAATGCAGAGAGATGCAGAAAAATTAAGGATATGCCGTAAAAAATATTTTTCAAAGTTGTAAGTAAAACAAAGATAATCAGGGAAATTTTACAGGAAAACACTATTTCAGCTTTTCTACTTCAAAATTTCACATTTATTCAATTCGTTTTTTTTGTAATTATTTGTGTAATTTAATAGCAATTTCTGAGTGAAAACTGTTTTTACATGTTTTTTTTGTAGTACAGTGATTGACCGATATTTTCAAATGTTTGATATACAGTATATATAGTATGTGATGAGCTAATTAATTTGAATTATACCAACTGAGATGCATATAAATGTGCTGAAATTAACATGTTTTATCTAAATATTATAATAACATATATTTTTAGCATACTATTATAGTATTTAGTCATATGTTCTCATTTAAAATTTTTATAATTTTGTTATTTGCTTTCGTCATTTACATTTTTTAAATACTTCTATTTAGCAGTAATTTATTTTATTTCGGTTTTAGTTTTGGTAATTTCAGTACTTCAACTTATTTCAATTAGTTGCCAAGGCAACATTTTAAATGTTATTTTTTCCATCTAATATTTATATGATTTTTTTAAAGCTTTATTTCAATTACAGAAACCCATTCGTTTTAGTTACCAATAACAACACTGAAAATTACTCAAAATTTACTAAAAATAACCGAAAGTGCCAATGCATCTGCCAAGCGCATGGCCAAATACTGGCTGATTTATAGGTGATAGATGATGCCTAGATGATATATCGATCTATCTCCAATCCAATAACTAGTATATCATGATGCTAGCAACACCAATGCCATGGGTTTGAATCCCAGAGAATGCACATACTGAATGCACTGAAATCTGTTTTATATGAAAATCTGAAAAGTCTGAAAATGCCTAAAAGTAATTTATTATAACTAAAACTATGCTACTTTGACAGAAATTACGGTTACCATGGTAATCTCTAGCAAGGAACTGTCTGGTCAAACACACTTGCACACTCACACAAACATACACAGCAGGGCTTCAACATGAGCTCCTATTGCAATCTGCATGATTTAGCATTGCAACAACATAAAAGCTCTGTCTCTGCTGATCACTTTTGACTTAACAGCTAAGGAGCAATAGCAGGGTGAAGGAAATGAATGGGGGAGAAAACCAGAAAAGCAAAAAGAAGGGTGAGGTAAGAAATATGCAGAAAGGAAAACAGAACCGAAGGCAGAGCATCATAGAGTTGATAAATAATTAGCGGGACTAACATGGCATTACTGGTAGCTGTGGTGGAAACGTCAGCCGACGAGATAACTCCGCACTTGGCACATTTGAGCGTCATATTGTACAGTGGCACTGTCATCTGACTGCAAAGTCAAATCAACACACTGAAATACACATGTACGCTGACATATAACCACATGCACACTCTCGCACACACACAGAGACATATACACCTATATACACGCAGATACACAGAACTAGCAGGCACAGAATCCCCTTCCAGCTCTCACTCAGGGCAGACCTCTGTCAAGGCATTGGGAAGAGTGCGGGAATGATGGAAAAGATGCCGTCACGTTAGTTTTATTTCTAAACAGGCCTGATTGAACATGTGGGACAAAGAGCTAGCGAGAACAAACAAAAAAAAGAAACTCTATATGCAGTGCATGTAGATTACCATCATTTATTTCCACTGACAATCTATGTAAAATGCTACATGATAAGATTTTGATTCTGTCATATCAATAACATCAAAATCTTCTTTTGCATTAGTATGCCATATGTAATTTGCTTGATTTAGGCTGCGAGCAGTTTAATCCGTCCCACTCTGCATCTGTCTTTGGGCCCTGGAGAGACATGGGAACTAAAAAAAGCTGGCTGAATAACATACACACAAACATTCATGCGTGTTGACAGCCAGAGATCGTGTATTCACAGACTCAAGCTAAATCACAGTCATTTTAGGAGACACATTAAAGTCATCCACAACCATAACTGTCAATATCAAACTCTGCATATATCTATGTGTGGCTTGTTTTGTTTTAACAAACTGCAGCATACAGTCATATTTGAGATTTCAGTACAGCATAAAACCATATTTGAGATTTTATTTACTTTCTTTATTTTTAAAATACGCTTCTACAGAGAATCTCAAAAGCATTTTAATATTTGCAGATAGCTCATGAAATGTGAAAAATATGCAAAATATGCAGTCCTTTTGAGAAAATAATAATAATAAAAATAAGAGAAGCTGCATTGATTAACACTGTCCAAAAAAAGACTACTGTTCAAAAGTTTGGGGTTAACATTTTTTGTTTTTGAAGAAATCACTTATACTCATCAAGAATACATTTATTTGATCGAATTACAGTAAAAACATTGTAATATTCTTATTACAATTGAAAGTTACTGTCTTCTATTTGAATATATTTTAAAATATAATTTATTCCTGAGATGCAAAGTTGAATTTTCAGTAGTCGTTACTCCAGCTGATCCTTCAGAAATAATTTTAATGTGCTGATTTGGTGCACAAGAAAGATTTCTTATTATGACGAATAAAAACTTTGAAAGAAAAAAATGGCTGACTTCAATCTTTTGAACGTTAGTGTATGTAATGCTGTACACAAAATAGCCACCTCCAAACAAACAAACAAAAATAATAAATTAAAGCCATCAGCTTGGCATGGCTGCCCAAACGGATAGGAAGTTGATTCTGCTACTGGCAGACATGTAGATTAAACCCCACATAATATAAGAAATTTAATTTCAAGCAAAGGCCAATGTGACCAATAAAACCTCACTGAAGGAAGTGATATTAAAAAGCAATCAGCATTTTTTTGAATACATGCTAGTCCTCGTGGAGATGGAGGGACTTCAACGACTGAGCTGATATGATCCTATACCAAATATTAAAGCAAACTTTCTCATTTATTGTACCCTCCATTTTTGAAACAGTTAATCTTTTTGATTTTTTTTTGTCACAGGTAGTAAAGCAATTAAAAAAATTCTTGATGAGAGCCACAACAATTTGTCCAAATGCACTTTGATATTCTAAAACGGAAGAAAATGCCAGAATTTAGAGGTGTACAGAGACTATCCAAAGTGCTACTCCTGCACTAGGCATAATTAACAGCAGCACTTATTAATTAGGCTAATGAAAAATGCAGTGTTTAAGAACAAGGGCGAGGGAGGGAGGAAAAAGCAACAAAAAAAATCCTCCCTCTAAATCTAATTCACTCTTCCCATCTATCAGCACCAAACAACGGCAGCCAGCCTTGAGTTAATCGGTTTCTGCAGAGAACGCAATGCGGCTGGAAAATACTCACGCAAACATGTTGATAAGAGATTTGGAATTACAAAAATATTTCCCATTATTACTTAAGCACAAACATAAATCTGACTTTCAAAGAAAAAAATCCAATCCAAAATGTCCAGACATTGAAATCAACATACAAGCATTCTTTTGCAGTCTCAAACACACACACACACACACACACACACACACACTCTCTCTCTCTCTCTCTCACACACACACACACACAC